TTCCCTCACTGGGGTGTGCCTGTGTGATCTGGTCCAAGCTCTGCAAAATCCCAAAAGCCGTTTTTCACCCAGCGCCTCTGTGGAACTCACCGCCACAAGACAGAGTGGCGGCTTGCGATTCGGATCAGTTTTCGGAAAGACCGGATCCATCGTTTATGTATAGCTGTGAGCAGTGTTCCCTCTAAGCTGAGTCCAGTGTGAGCCAGATCAGTTTTTTAGCCTCCGGCTCACACATTTTTGTCTCAGCTCAGGAAGGTAAGGGCTCCAGAGCAAACTGATTTGTGCAGTAGCCAAATCGCTCGTTCACAACCAGTGTTCCCTCTAAGGTGAGTTAGAGTGAGCTAGCTCACAGTTTTTTAGCCTCCAGCTCACAGATTTCTGTCTTAGCTCAGGAGGGAGGGCTCCAGAGCAAACTGATTTGTGGGGTAGCCAAATCGCTCGTTCACAACCAGTGTTCCCTCTAAGTTGAGTTAGTGTGAGCCAGTTCGCTGTTTTTAGCCTCCGGCTCGCACCTTCTTGTCCTCGCTCAGGAAGGAGGGCTCCAGAGCAAACTAATGTATGCAGCAGCCAAATCGCTCGCTCACAGCTTTAATGCCAGCAGCTCACAAAGTAGAATTTTTGCTCACAGGATTCCTCACCTTAGAGGTAGCATTGGTTGTTAGCCATGAGAGCAAAACAGAACCTGCCTGTCCAGGGGCAGTCTATCTTATCAGCGAACCTCTTCCGGCCTGGATTGTGGGGATCCGAGATGCAGGGCCATCCCAAAGGAGACAGGATGCTGGGTCAGACAGACGGAGCTGTTCTTGCGTCCTTAGAAAGCAGAACGGCCCGACACCTTTGGGGCTTCCCAGGGGGAGAGCCTGCCCTCTCTTCGGCCCAGCGGCAGCCAAGGAAACATTAAACGGCAATTCTGCCCCGCCTGTCAAAGGCAAGACTGTCCCCTGGTTCATTGCCACCGGCTCAAAACCCAGCCACCCCAAAAAAAATGGTTTGCATGGCAAAATATTTACTGTACCCGACCACATCGTTCCTCTCCACATTGGGGGGATTCTCTGTGGCTAACAGTCAAGAGCTAGCCCTCTTTTGGCGTCGGGGGAGAGACGTCTGCCCAGAAGGCCAAGAAGTACACGGAAAGCGCTCTGCCTTCCTCCGTGCTCCTCTTGGGGAGACCTTGGCCATTTCTTACACCGGCTGCACCATCCTCTGCCGGGCCAGAAGCCGGGTCCTGAAACGGCCGAGCCGCTGCCTTCCGAGCCCCCCTTCCCCCGCCCCAGTTCCCGGGATCAAACGTCCGTCATCTCGTCCTCCAGCTCTGCGTCCTCCGGCTCCCCTTCGCCTTCCTCCTCCTCCTCTTCTGACGTCACGTCGGGGTCGTCGGCTTGGGCCAGGCACTTGGGGCAGGAGCAGGTGAACAGGTAGTTTTCCCTGGGGAGGGGAGAAAAGGGCTGCCGTCACCGGGACACTGGGAACTGCCTTATAGGGAATCAGGCCCTTGAGAACCTCAGAAGAACCCTGCTGGATCAGACCGATGCGGGTCCACCTAGTCCAGCATCCTGTCTCACACAGGGGCCAGCCAGTTCCTCTGGAGGTCCAGCCACAGGGCAGGGAGGCTGAGGCCTTCCCCTGAGAAGAACCTCAGAAGAGCCCTGCTGGATCAGACCAGTGAGGGTCCATCTAGTCCAGCATCCCGTCTCACACAGTGGCCAACCAGTTCCTCTGGAGGGCCAGCAACAGGGCAGAGAGGCCGAGGCCTTCTCCTGATAAGAACATCAAAAGAGCCCTGCTGGATCAGACCAGTGAGGGTCCATCCAGTCCAGCATCCTGTCTCACACAGGGACCAGCCAGTTCCTCTGGAGGGCCAGCAACAGGGCATGGAGGCCGAGGCCTTCCCCTGATAACAACCTCAGAAGAGCCTTGCTGGATCAGATCAGTGAGGGTCCATCTAGTCCAGCCTCCTGCCTCACACAGGGGCCAACCAGTTCCTCTGGACGGCCAACAACAGGGCAGAGAGGCTGAGGCCTTCATAAGAACATCAGAAGAGCGCTGCTGGATCAGACCAGTGAGGGTCCATCCAGTCCAGCCTCCCATCTCACACAGGGGCCAACCAGTTCCTCTGGAGGGCCAACAACAGGGCAGAGAGGCCAAGGCCTTCCCCTGATGTTGCCACCTGGCTCTGGGATTCAGAGGATGAGTGCCTCTGAATGTGGAGGTTCCCCTCAGTCACCATGTCGAGTAGCCACTGATAGACGTGTCCTCCATCAGTCTATCTAATCCTTTTCGAAAGCTGTTCATTCCCATGAACATCACCACAGCCTCCGGCAGCCAATTCCACATTTGAATCACTCCCTGTGTAAAGTAGAATTTCCTTTTGTCCGTCCTGAACCTACTGCCCATCGGCTATATTGGATGCCTGCGAGTTCTCGTATTTGGGGAGAGGGAGGAAAAATTTCTCTTTTGTCCACTCTCTCCACTCCCTGCATAATCTTATAAACCTTTATCATGTCCAGTGTTCCCTCTAAGCTGAGTTAGTGTGAGCTAGCACACAGGTTTTTTAGCCTCCGGCTCACACATTTTGTCTTAGCTCGGGAAGGATGGCTCCAGGGCAAACTAATTTATGCAGCAGTCAAATTGCTCACTCACAACTTTAATGCTAGGAGCTCACAAGGGAGAATTTTTGCTCACAAGACTCCACAGCTTAGAAGGAACATTGATCATGTCCCCCCCTTAGTCGTCTATTTACTAAACAGAAAAATCCCAGACTCTTCAGCCTTTCCTCACAGGGAAGAAGAAGAAGAAGAGATTGGATTCATACTCCACCTTTCACTACCCAAAGGTGTCTCAGAGCGGCTGACAAATCTCCTTTCCCTTCCCTTCCCCACAACAGACACCCTGTGAGGTTGTGGTGGGGCTGAGAGCTCTCTCGAGGACTGTCCTTGAGAGAACAGCTCTGAAAGAACTATGGCTTGCCCAAGGTCATCCAGCAGCTGCAAGTGGAGGAGTGGGGAATCAAACCCGGTTCTCCCGGATTAGAGTCCGCGCACTTAAACCACCACACCAAACTGGCTCTCCGGCTGCTCCGGCTGTTCATTTGACACCTGCTAGCCAAAAACAGGGATGCAATCGAGTGTGCTGTGCTGGCCTGGATGTGGGGCACTCCCCCCTCCCTACAACTCCACCAGGAGATACCCTACTCACCCACCCTTATCTAAGTCCTAAAACATTTAGCAAGGCTTTATGGCAAAATCGTGCCCACCGGCAATTACATCTACGTAGACAAAGTGTGCATTTATGGATCTTCTTCCCCCACTTGCTTGGCTTCTCTCCCCTTTCCCTTCACACCCCCGGACCTTCCTGTTGACAGAACGTAAGCTCCTCAGGGCAGGCCCCCCTTTCTGCTGCTCTGCCACAGTCGCAGGTGCCGTTATTACACAAAAAAGCACTGCCTGTCAACAGCTCCCTCCTCTGCCAGGCATGCGGTGGCATCTGCTCTTACCGGAGCGCCTTGTGACGGCTGTGACGGCTCCTGTCTCGCTGGCAGCAGTCGAGGTAGCTAATGCAGATCTCCTGTACAAACAGAAGCAAGAGACGCAGGTCAGAGACTCGGCTCTGTGGCAGGCGCCTGGCTGAGTGGAGATGGAGCTACACATCCCATGAGCTTCATCCCAAGGGGACTGACCGAATGGTTTGCACCTGAGATGCACGCCCATAAAAACTGAGGGGTTACAGCTAGTGTAAAAAGGTAAAGGTTCCCTTGCTCGAAAGCCAGTCGAATCCGACTCTAGGGTTGCGGTGCTCATCTCCGTTTCAAAGCCGAAGAGCCAGCGCTGTCCGAAGACGTTTCCGTGGTCATGTGTCCGGCATGACTAAACACCGAGGCGCACGGAACGCTGTTACCTTCTTCCCACCGAAGTGGTCCCTATTTACCTACTTGCAATGTCTTGCTTTCAAACTGCTAGGTTGGCAGGAGCTGGAACTAGAGACGGGAGCTCACTCCGTCATGCGGCACCCGGGTCTTGAACTGCTGAACTACCGACCTTCCACAGCCTGCAGTTCAGCGTCTTAACCACTTGAGCCACCGCAGGTCCTACAGCTAGTGTAGAGAACCAAAAATATAGAAGCTGTAATGATGTACAAAACACTTATAATCTCACGACGACGATGCAAAAATAAACCGTCAAATTGGAAAAATATTAATTCCCAACAGGTATCAGAAAGATGGACAAACTTCCTCCGGAGTTTTGGCATTCGTTTCGTGAAGAACCTCTTCTAAACATCAAGATGCGATAGTGCTGCTTCTTATTCCACTGCTAGTACACTCCGTGTGCCCGCTGATGGAAGGATTTGTTATGTAAGAACATGTTCAACATATAGGATATTAGTACCTTTGTATTGGATTTACCCCCCCTCATGGATCACTGCCTTGTCGTGGCGAGGGGGCTTGCGTGGTTCGATGAGGCTGTGGGCTATGCCGTGGAGGGCCACCCAAGATGGACAGGCCACAGCAGAGAACTTAGACCAAGTGTGATCCCCTGGAGAAGGCAATGGCAACCCACTCCAGTATTCTTGCCAAGAAAACCCCATGGACAGTATCAAAAGGCTAAAAGATATGACACCGGAAGATGAGCCCCTCAGGTCGGAAGGTAAATTGAGCAAACGTCAGAGGACGGCGGAAGACAGGAAGGCCTGGCGTGATGAACAACAACAACAACAAATTAGATTTACCTCCTGCCAACCTAGCAGTTCGAAAGCAAGAAATTGCAAGTAGATAAATAGGTACCCCTTCGGTGGGAAGGTAACAGCGTTCCGTGCGCCTTGGTGTTTAGTCATGCCGGCCACATGACCACGGAAACGTCTTCGGACAGCGCTGGCTCTTCGGCTTTGAAACAGAGATGAGCACCGCAACTTTCGACTGGCTTTTGAGCAAGGGAACCTTAACCTTTTTATTGGATTTACACATTATGGAATAAGAAGCAACACTATCACATCTTGATGTTTGGAAGAAGTTCTTCACGAAACGAATGCCAAAACTCTGGAGACGTTCATCCATTGTTCTGACACCTGTTGGGAATTAAAATTTTTTTCAATTTGACGGTTTATTTTTGTATCATTATTGTGAGGTTATAAGCGTTTTGTACATCATTACAGCTTCTATATTTTTGAGAACACCCCCATACGCGCATGCGCGCGCGTGCACACACACACACACACGGGGGTCTCTCTTAAGCCTCCCAAGGAATCCTTCCCCACC